TGTGTTGTAAGAAATACAAAAAAAAACCCCATGCTTAAAAATTATAATGCCCTTTTTCTAGTTAAGCAAACCCAAAACTTGCTGGCACTTAAACACTGCTGGTTAATGAATATGACACTGAAAGTGTGGCAGCTTTATAGAAAAGAATATCAGCCATTTATCTTACTGAGGATTAAGAAATGGTCATCTTTGTTTTCAGTTATTACGGTTTTCTATCAGAATGTTACTTTCTCTATTAGAACTTCTGGCTGGACATTTTAAAATCGAGTATCCACTATTTCAGGGAGGGTAATATCAGTTTTCAGTGCTGTTGGCAGTTTCATCTTTTTTTTTTCTGATTTCTGTTCATTACTCAGATACTAAGTTAACATTAAATTTTAAGATAAACATTTCTAATATATAATATAGGCTATTTTATTAAATTTGCATTAATTGGAAAAAATAATTGCCTGTGATTATGCAGGCATATTGTTATTTCATGCATTCATGTTAGCTTCTTGCTCGCTACTTCTAAGAACAAAAAGAGATAAACTGGTGATTGTCAGACAGAAGACGACCTTCAGTCCCTACAGTCTTGGATATTGTCTCTGACGTTAATGATTCTGTTCTGTTGCGGTGAAGCTAAAATGTTGCTTCTGAAGTTTGAGAGTACAAAATGGCTTTAATTGTATCCAAACTGTAGATTCCATTCTGCTGGAGATTATACTGCTATTAAACCAGAATTACTTCAGAACCCAGTACCACAGTATTCCAGATTCTAAAATATGAGTTATTGTGTGGAGTGCTGTATTTGAATTCCTTGGAGTGCTCTGCTGTATTTCTTCCTAAGACAAAAAAAAGATTAAAGAGGAATAAGCAGTCTTTTGCTGTCTTTGCTTATTCCATTTTTTATCTCTCTCCTGTATCTTCACTCCATGCTGAGGCAGCCTCGTTTAAAGGAATGTTTTGAGTGCCCATTAAAACTTCTGATGAAAGTTTTGAGCAGGTAATAAAGACATGCCTTCAGCTTTACTTTCTTTGTGATTAACCTGAGGCTAAGTCCTATGAAAAACGTTTTCTGTTTTTCTCACACTTTCCTGTAAGGTATTAAGGATTTATTGAGAAAATTGATGAAGAATAATTATCTGATTTCCTTTTGACTGTTAGAAATACAGTAGGTTGTCTCAGTTGCAGTGATGATAAATGTTTCAGTTCTGCAGTGTACAAGTACCAGAGCCTTCAGGCTTCTGATAGAAACATAGATCAACAGACTCATGATAAGTGTCTCCCAGAACAAAAGCAGGTGCTCCTTTCAAAAGTAAAGGGTATCTTGTAGTACTGTTGGAACTGAAAATTCTTCCTAGCTAAAACCAAACTTCTTTGTGTCTGAAGCAAACACTACGTGTGATGGAGATAAGGAATCAGATGGTGAAGATGTAGAGGCGGACAATGGTAATTCATCTGAAGATTTGAGAAAGGTAATAATTACATCTTCAAACAGTTAAAAAAACTTTACTGTTGAGAAAAATGAGTTAAGATTTATAGTATGTATCAAAAATAGTACCTCAATTCTGGAATTTTATGCCAAATGCCAGCTTAATGGCATTTTTAATGCTTCCATGCACAAAAATATTAATACCTTTCTCTTTTCATTTTTGTTACATCTTCAGGAAATAATGGTTGGTTCACAGTACCAGGCTGAAATTCCACCTTACCTTGGCAGATACAGTGATGATGGAAAGGGTAGGTTTTTCTGACTGTTTTTATTTTATGTTTATACATAACAGTTGATGGAAAAATGTTACTTAAATTTGTAAGGTAAATTCAATGGCTCACTTAGTCTCAGAGACCTTAAAAAAAAAAAAAAAAAGGCACTAGAAAACTGAAGTAACACAACCACATAATTATATCTCAGAAATGTGATTCTTCACCTTTGAGAAGACATTCTCAAGAAAACATTGGAAGGTGAATTACAGTGTTAATTCTGACATATCTAGTCATTGGGAGGCAACAAACCATAGGTCAGGAAGGAAATATTTTCATCAGAATGTCATAACTGGGCTATGAGCGTGTAAACTTAGTTCACATTGAAGATCTTAAAAAGAGTATTTTTCTTTGCTTGGGTTTTCTTGGCAAGCACAACAGTGTGGATTAAAAAATTGATACGGAAAACAAAGTAATAAACTATTTTAAATTTCCGTAGCATGAGTAGAAGATGTAGGTCTGGATACACTGTCTGTTAAAAAGATGAGGAGTTACATATGGTGTTATCCCAGTGTAAATTTCGGTGTAAAACTGCAATTGTGCTAGAGTAGAAAAAATAACTTATTAAATAGTTTTATTTTATACGTTTAGAAACCTTCACTATGGGAAAAGTACAGCACATATAGCTGTGGAATTCAAAAATCAGATAATGAGAGAAATTTGCTCACAGTTGGAACAGCTGTGAAATTAAGGAACAGTCTGGGGGATATGTTAATCTGTAAGTTACTTGTGTTCAAACTGTAACATTTCATGGGAATATTATTCTAGTGATGTATATCAAGTCTTGTCACCATTACTGGCTGCTTTTTTGAAGAACGATCCTTTGCAATAGAAAAGAAGAACGTTTGGTATGGATGGAGCTGGAAGCATTAGCAAGTGAACATCTCTTGTGTTGCTTAAAAGACCTAGGGAAGTCTCCTGTTCGCTAAGATTCAAGCATGATGCTTATGGTTTATGAGAAATGGAGTAGTAAGACCCATATTTATCCTTTTACTATTTACACATCTTGACTTCTCCTCAGCCAAGAACTAGAGAAGTGCTAATAACCAGAGAATGGCCAGGAAGGAGTTAATCTGACAACTTCCTCTGGAATGAGCTGGTGCCAGAGAGAACCAGTGAGATTCTTGTCTGCTGGCATGGCCAAGAGCAAAGAGGTAGCACACATATCGGAGATTGAGGAGCTCCTCTTGCAATTATCAGTCATGGCCTCTAACAAGAAGTGCTGGGTGTCTTGGTTGATAAAGAAGGTTGAAGCCGAGCATCAGCAGTGCTCAGAGAGGTTGGACCTGACTGTAGGGGTGGAGGATTCTGTGAAGGCTTCTTTTGTACTCCCTGAAGAGCTTGTGGTGGCAAGCAGGGACTTTTATTTCTGCTATGTAGTCCCAGCTACCAGAATTGTGGTAGAAGGCAGTTCTGCTGTTTTGTAATCCGTACACTTGTAACGTGTCTGTTTGAAAGCTTTCCACGTTCTTAAGCCATAACAGAACTTTCAGAGGGTATGTAATTTTATTCCTCACCGTAGCTTAATGTTGTTTCCTGCAGTTTTGTGAGAGATCTGAGATCTTCATCTCTTCTACTGTAACAACTGTTATGCTCCTGTGTTTGAATTGAATAACCCTCATTTTGTATCACCAAGAGAGAGTACATGAAACATCATATGCAAAGTTAGTCATATCTGTTGGTCAGAGTAAAGGATTTATAGTTTAATCTAGAATTGAAACATGCACAGACTGGCAAAGGTTCAGGCCAACTCTTGTGTGTTTTCAATATATTGTCTTTCAAATAAGCTACTTAAGAAGTGCACGGATACATTATTTGAGTATGCTATGAAGGAGGACTATACATCCTGATTGCTTGTAAAGTATGTAACACAAGTTCTTAACAGCATTCAGTTGTTAGTGAATGGGAAAACAAATTACCTCATCGAGACTTAGACTTCCTTTCTATTAAGTAACGTTTGGCAAATTTCAGTTGAAAATGACCAATTAGCCACCTCCTTTTTTTATATGTAATATTTGAAATATTAAAATAATATCCTCCACTGTTTTACTGTAAACTATAGTTTATTTTTTTAAACAGCTGAGTAAAACTGAAGGGTTTTGCTAGTTTGTTTATATGAAGATGATGAATACATATGCATAATCTGACTTGAATCATCTCACTGTCAACAAGCTGCTCTTCGGTAAAGAGTCTTTGTCTCAAGAGTTCAGTCCCTTACCTCATCCCGTGTAACCTGAATCTCTTAGCCATATCACGCTGTAGAGTCTGTCTTTTAACTGAGGCTTTTGGGCAAAAAGTGAGCTGCAATTTAGAAGTGGCATGATGGTGCTTGATTTGATTACTTCTGTGTTCCTGTTCTTTGTCTTTGTGAAGTAGCTTTTAATGTTACAGGCTTTAAAACGTCACACCTGCCATTAATGGATTTCTGTTTTAGCAGCCTATGAAAATGAAGACCATTTACTTTGGAAACCTGATGTGATCTCAGAAAGTAAAGTTAAAGAATACCTTTTTGAAACCTCCTTAAGAACAGGAAATGAAAAAATGATTGGCAGAATTCCTGAAGGACTACATACACGGGACAATGAACAAGTATGTTTTATATCCCATTCCATTTGTGACACATTGCTTTTTAATTAACATGTGTTCTCTTTCTCTGCCTTGTATTATAAAGGCAGCAATACTCCATTTCTTTTCTTTTTTTTTTTATTAGATGTTATTGGGGTCAAGATCTTATTTGTAATTTTAAGCACATGCTTAAAATTTTATTTTACACTTTCTTAATTAAACCTTTCCTCAACTTTTGGATGGTTTTATTTTTGATTGTTGCTTTAAATTTTTCATCCTGTATAAAGATAAACCCTCTTTTTTTATATTAGATTGCTCACTGAAAGGCTAATTTTGGAGATCTAGATTGGCTATTTGCAAACTTTGACTTTTTCTAAAGACTTTTTCTATTTTATAGGCATTGTATGAACTTCTTAAAAGTAGCCATAATGTTAAAGAAGCAATTGAGAGATACTGCTCAAATGGAAAGGCATCTCAGGGTAAGTGGGAGTACTTGTTTTATCAGAAATGTGTGTTTGAAAAAAAAAAAAAAAAGGAAAAAAAGATTGTATAAAAAAGCCTTCAGTAAGAATCGGCTTGAGTGCATCATTTTCTATGATGTCTTTAGCACAGGTTAGGTATAATCTGACTGTTGGCCAGTTGGAAATTCCTGCTAAAGTAGTTGGCAACTTGTTTAAAGGTTGAGAATCAGCTTTTCACCTTCCCTTCGTTCCTCCATTGCTGTTACAACAACGGGACAGACTGAGGAGAGGGGTGGACAGAGCAGTGACTTTTGCTGCCGTAAGGGAGTGTATTTACAGTATCTTTTTCAGATCATGATCAATTATAATCTGGTTACATTTATAGCACAATCAGGAGAACATAGCTGGCTATATAAATAAGCCCCATTGTCTTCCTCAATGTGCTAATGTTATGCTATGCCAACCCTAAACTGGTTGTACTGTATAGTATACTGATCTTCAGTAAAGCGTGGAGAGCTTTGCTCGAGTTTACAGTGGAAAACAAGCTTCCGTCTCGTTTGTCCGTAACTTTTACTCCCTTAAATGAAAATCAGAGTTTATCAATTAGTAAAGACAGTTCTTTTTCCTGTATTTTAACATACATGTTGCATAAAGCAGAAATGCAGTATGAGGCCTGGTATAGATTGATATTCTGGCAGATATTCCCTAGAATATCTGGTGACGGCACCCAAAGGGAACTTGAATGTTTACAAATTGGGTGCTGTGAAAGCTAAGTATCCAAGGTAAAGCTGAAGGGGACAATAAAGACTATCGGAGCAGTGCTTCAGAAAGCTTGTGTACAAGAAAAGATTGTGTAGGCCTAAACAATAAGGAAGTATCAGTTGCAGGGTTGCATCCTAAATCCCACACCTCTCTAGGATTTAGATTCCTGTTTTGAGATTGAAAAATATCTCTGCCCTTTTGTGGTTCAGAGCCTAAAACTCTATCTTAAGGACTAGTAATCACACTCCACGCCCCGTCCCAAGTCAGATGGGACTTATTATACCCTCATTACAAATGGTAAAGGATGATAATACTGTCAGGGCTTGTCTCTTGGACTAACTGTTATGCTATGATCTACTTTACTCGGTGAAGTTCAATGCTATTCAAGTTGAGAGTTAAAAGTCCACCACTCCCAAGATAATTTCTCAACAGTGAGACTTTACATGGGGATCTTCTCTTTGAAGCTTGAGAACTCTAGTAAGGAGTGCGAAATTAAGGAGTGAGAAAGAAAGAAAGAAAATGGCTTGCAGTGGAATGATTATCACCTTCATCAGGGAGCAGAAAGGTCTTGGTTTCACTGTCTCTTCCAGAAAGGTTTTGAAATGTGTTTTTTCCCCCCCATTGGCTTTACTTGTCAGCTGAACAGAAGCTTTTTTGGATCATCATTATGAATGTAATGTGCCTGAAATGCCCCTTCTTAATTATATATAGGCCCAAAACCATAATCAAGATAGGAAAGCGACAATACTTGAGACAAAAATGACCTATTCAAATATTTTGCCTACTTTGTTTTGAAAGTCTTACTTGGTTTTAGTTATTTCTTTGTTGTTTGTAAAACTAAAATTCAGTTTTAGAAACTGCAGGTTTTATCCTAAAAAAAAAAAAACAAAACCAAAAACCTGCAGGTTTTATCTTAAAAAAAAAAAAAAAAAAAAAAA